GGCAATCCTACTTCTGTAGTGATACTGCCTTGGAAACCCAAGGAGGGGTCACTATGAGTCGGGTCCAACTCGACGGCACACAACAACAACAACCAGCTCTAAGGGGAGCAAGCCCAGGAGCCATGGCCTGGGCACATGTGTCGGGGAGGGGCTTGTGCTGAAAGTGCATGGTGAAGGGAGGTGACAGGGAAGGGGACCCTGGGGTCTGGTGGCCCACCAGGGGAAGCAAGCTGATTTTCAAGCCTGGGTTTTTAATGACCGTAATACCCGGTGTTGCCAGTTACTCCCCTTGCATCCTCTGGTAGGAAGCGGGAAGTGTACATGCGTAACCCCGCTAGGAGCTCTGGCACTGTGTGCACTTCCTGTACACAATGGATCCTGGAATTGGGCTGTGATGATGACTCATCGCTGACCATAACGAGGTCTATAGGCACCTTGGTTTGACTTAGAAAGTTTACAGAACTGTTCCTGTGTTGGAGACACTGAATCCTTTTCAACGAAGCCCTTCAGCATATCTTCCCACGGAGCTGTCCTCTCCTTCACTAGACCCACCCTTTTCTTCCTGTGACACAGAACGTTCTGGAAGCACCCGCTCTGGGGCCAGGCAGAGCCTTCCCCGGCATTTCGGATTTCCTTTGGCCTCACACTCAGAGTTAGGGCAACAGTCTGCAGCAACAGCAGCAGAAAGCCACCATTTATGTGGAGAGACTGATTCCCCTCCTACTTTGCGCGTGAGGAAACGTGGCTCAGGGAGGTTAGCTGCTTACTAGAGAGAGGCTAAGTTGGTTTCTTTTCCCTACCCCACATTGCCCTTCCCCACATTGGGCCCCCACTCCCGATACACTGGCCACTGAGCCATATGGGTCAGGCTGGAGTTGGAAGTCTGGTCTAGTTTGTGCTTTGGGTCTCTATGCTCCTGCAACCACCAAGCATATCTCTGTCACTGCACTTGTGACATCGCTGTGTCTACTAGCCTGTCTGGAACATAGGCTCCTTAAGGTCAGGGATAGGATGATCCCTGTCCAGAAGCTGGTACTTGAAGCCTTGAAGTAACGGTTGTTGAATGAATGAGTGAAGGGAAACTCGGATTGTAAGTTTGAGGACTGAGTATAGTTTATTATGTTCATGATACATATTAGACACTTAATATATGGTTTGGACATGCCTTCAGGAATTCTATCTGGTTCTGAAGAGGTTCTAGAATGTTCTCAGTTCCAGAAGCAGCTATAGATCACCCAAGAACAACAGAATTCCTGTTTATGAAGTGGTGACTACGTTCCCAGCCACGTGCACAGCACTTCACATCATTATTTCACGGAATCCTCTCAACCACTCCCTGAGGAGGTAACTGTTATCTCCATTTCACAGATGAGGAAACTGAGGCTGAGACAGGGAAATAACTCTCAAGTCACCAGCAAGGAGGAGGTAGAACAAGCATTCAAGTCGGTTCTCTCCAACTCCAAAGCTGGTAGGCACTCTTAATTAGACCTCCACACCTTGTTCTGGAGGAGTCACCCAAAGTATGACTTGTGGGGTATTAAATGGCACAGCTAAGGTTAGAATCATAACCTGCCTAGTTGCCAAGTTCATCTCCTCCTAAAATTTTTCAGCCCTCACAAAACCCAGAGGCCACCTTGGTCCAAACTTTGAAATCTTTGTGCCTGACCTAGAGACGGTGAGACAGACTCCCCAACACCTGGCGTGTCCACTGGATGACCCCGTGTCTGCCAAAGCCCCAGGAAGCTGGGCCTGCACACCCCTCTCCAGAATCCCAGTGCACCGATCACCATAAACACAGGGCCCCACACTCCCATACACAGACATGATGCAGGACGAAGACCTGATGGAACTGAGCACCAGAAGCACACCATGGATTACGGAAACAAAGTGCACTGCAACCAAACCAAATCACACCAAACAGGAGCCTGGTGTTCTCAGCTGTGTTAGAGCAAAATGAGCATATCCCTAAGGCGTAGGTGGCACACAGGGAAGGCCCTCCTTCTCATGGGCTTTTGCAGCAGGCCTAGAGGTGCCCCAAGTGGGGCTAACTTCTGGATCTGCTCCAGAGGCCAGAATCCAGCCTGCACTTGGTGGCCTCCAGCTGTATAGCTTTGATACCTTGTTCAGTGCCCCTCCATCCCCTCCTGGTCAATAGCTTTGCTCCCAAGGCAAATGGGTCTAGCCTGCACCCACTTGGCTTTAGTGAGTAGATCACGTGAGATGTCCGGCCCACCCTGCCAAATGCAACGCCGAGGGCACACACGTCATGCGGCACGCCTACCTGGCTCACACCACTCAGAGCAGCTTTCCTTGCGGCCTGCTCGCCACCTCTACACGGCTCTGTCTGCTTGGCCTCCCCTCCAGCAAAAGGGCTACCCAGGGGCTTGCGGGGCCGGCCTTCCTCAAGGGTGTGGAGATCTGAGAGTCTCTGTTCAGTGCTCAGGCACCTGACCACATCTGAAGGTTTCAAGCAGCTCTTCTGAGAGATCTTGGGTCTGCCAGGGCCTCTCTCACCTGCTTCCTTCTCTGCTTGCCACTCAGACTGTCTGCTATCTTCCCTCCATTGCTGCCACTTGCTCTGGCTGCTAAAGGCATCGCTAAGCTCCGAGATGACCTTCTCAGAGCTTCTAAGCAGCGGCTGAGAGAAGCTATCCTGGCGGACACCCGAAGGTGGTAAATGGATACCACTGTCTCCGTTGACGTGAAGGGAGGCCTGGACAATGGGTTCCAGGGAGTAGGGTTTGTGGGGGTGAGGCAGGGCCAGTGGGGAAGCTACCGAGTATGGGGAAGCACGATGTGACCAGCTAGAACGAGGGAGGCTGATGGGCAGAGAGGGACTGGCCCCCACCGACAAGGCAAGGGGGTCAGTGTTATAGAGAGAAGCCTCTGGCAGCGGAGGCAAGGGTGGGGTCAGGGCCAGAGGATGCCTGCCTGGGACCCCCACAGTCAGTGAGATCCACTCAGAGGTGATGGCACGCATCTCAGGGGACACAGTTTGGTAAGGGTGGGGCAGAGATGAGAGGGCTGGCGTGATGAGCTTGCTATGACTGGGAAACTTAAAAAGAGGAGAGAGAAAAAAAAAAAAATAAAAAGAAAGAAGCAAAAGATACAAGTGTCAGCATAAAGAAGAAAGAAGTAAAATAACTATAGGGGGTTATCCAGAGGAATGAAATGGAGGGAGTGAGCAGGACATGCTGGTGTCCAAAAACGACATCATTCAGTTAGGTGTAGAGGGGAGTTGGGATGTGGGGGTGCGTGACCATGGGTGCATGCATGTGTGTACCAGTGTGTGCAGTCTGCGGGGAGGATGGGAGAAGCAAGTGGCATGGAGAAAGGTTCCCATCAGAGTAGTTACGGGTGGTCCCTGCCTGGTTGGCACAATCAGATTTTCAAAGGGACACACTGGGAGCTCCTTCCACCCTCTTTTCCTCTCCACCCAGGTCACCTCTGCAATTGACCCAGAACCATGACCCAGAAGCCCTGACCCAGAACCACAGGGAGAAAAGCCAGTCCATCATGCTGGTCCTGCCTTAGGCCCTTACTCTAAGGTGCATAGCAAATAGTCTTTCAGAAATGACTATGAGTAGTGTAGTCATTCTGTTTTAGACAATCGTGCTTGGCTCTGGCCCAGTGAAGCCGCTAGCTGAACCCCCCATATTATCACAAAGCAGAAGGCCCTGCTCCAATCTCACCTCCCTCTCTGTGAGATCACAGGACACAGGTGTGACAAGCAAGTGGGAGAGGAGGAAATGGTTAGAGGATGAGAGAAAAGAGGTACCTTTCAGTGTCATCCTGGTTCCCAGGTCCTGCTCTCACTCTCTGGACACTCTCCCTGCAACTTACCACGTGGCTTCAGCCTGTTCTACAGGACGCCACCCACTGGTCCTCTGCTGAACTAAAGGCTCTCATTTTTTCTTGGCTTTGGGAAAGTGGGTTGGGTTTGGAATAACTTCTATCTACAATAAGCTCTCTTATAATTAATGTTCAGGAGCTCTGGTGGTGTAGTGCCTAAGGCATTTGACTGTTAACCCAAAGGCTGGTGGATCAAGCACACCAGCCACTCCTTGGAAGGAAGACTGGGCAATCTACTTCTGTGGAGGTACTGCCTCGGAAACTCAAGGAAGGGTCGCTATAAGTTGGATCGACTTGATGGCAATGAGTTTTGTTTTTTTTTTTGACAATTAATGTTCAGTAAAGCCAACATGGGGAGCTCTGGTGGTCCAGTGCTTAAAGCACTCAGCTGTTCACCAAAAGACTGGCAGTTCAAACCCATCAGCCACCTGCAGGAGAAAGATGAGGCATTTCTCCTCTGTCCAACAGGGTCGCTATGAGTAGGAATTAACTCACTGGGAGTGGATTTTTGTTGTTGTTGTTGTTGTTGCTTTGTTTTTTAAAGCAAACATCTTATTATCCCCAACTCCTTTCAGGTCTCAGGTCAGTGCTGACAGAGATACTATAAATTCTCCTCAGCCTCATTACAGTGAATGCTTGCAAAGAATACTCAGGAGCTTTCTACATATTTGAGAATGAGACGGTGAAACTCTCTCTTCCAACCTTTGTCTTCTCTAGGCCAAGCCTGGCCAACAAGATGACCAAGAGAAGTACGTGGAGCTATAGAACTCATGATACAGTGGTAGTACTGGAGCATGAACTTCCAAACGACGGAATGCTTACAGGATGGAGTTTTGGACCAACTAACAAGAGCTGAGAAAGGTTCCTGTTTCTGTTTCCCTAGTCATCTTATCCCCAGATCACTTCCTTTTCCCTGAGATCATATTTCTCCTACAAGTGCTTGAAAAATGCCACTGTGTGCATGAAGGCAGACCTCAGTGTATACTCTGCCTGGCTGCAGACAGATCTGAATACCAGTGCCATCAGCATTGTGGTTCGTCATGCTGAGTGTGGAAACTGGTGCCACGAAGCTTAGATACCTGTGGGCTCCCAGTGGCACTACGACTTGGGGAGGAGGAGAAAGGCAGGTCAATGTAGTCCAGGGGAGTTTTCACCAGTGGCCGTTTGATCACGTCCACGTAGGTGATGGGGAAGATGCCTTGTCGGGACGTCCCCGGGATCCTCCCTTCATACCAGTTCTCATCCACCTGTCGCAGCAGCGTGATCCTCTCTCCCTGCAAGACATAGTAAGGCAAGGGCCCTTGTCACACCACGCCTCAGCAGTGAGGGGCCCCCATCTGCACCATGCTGTTTATCACATTCTTAGCTCAGAAAAACCTCCCTGCTACAGCTGCATGGGATGAACATCACTGGCGTGGGGGCGCAGCAGCAGGAGTGCTGCATGACGGTGGAAAGCGAAGCCTGGTCTTCCACTTCAGTGAGGGACAAGGTCAGACTGATCACCTCCAGCTTGAAGACCAATGTACTTTTTTTTTTTTTATACTCATTTGATGCAAAAAAGGACAGCTGTTAAGTATTTTTCTCTAAGGCAAAGGTTGTAGGGGTTTTCTTTTCTTTTTTTATATAACTTTTTTTTTTCACATATCATTACAGAAAAATTAAAACAGGAATAAACTTAAAGAAGAAAATAACAATCACCCATAATAGCATCCCCTGGGGATAAGCATTGTTAACATTTTGATACATGATCTTCCCAGATTCATATCTATGTACATGTATTAGACTTGCACATTTTTTCTTATGAATGTACATTGTATTTCTCTTTTGAAAATTGTTTATTTTATACTTAACATATAGTGAACATCCCTCTATCAAGGAATGTACCTTTTTCATGGCATTGCACAGTGTAACAGACCACTACAGGGTCTTTGACTGCATGAACATATAATGATCTAATTACTGATTCTCCAGCTGATGGCATTTAAGTTGCTTTAATATAAGGTGGCTCATCTTTTCAAAGGCACTGCTCCCTTCCTTCAATCCTCAACAAAATGAGTGATTTTAACGATTTTAGCAAGCAGAGAATTTTGGCACACAAACTATTTGAATTCCTAGGAAGGACTTTCTTTACACAGCTCAATTATGTTCAAAATAAACATGCTGAGTTTACTGGAAGATGGCAAGGATGCTCATACTGACATCTCCTGTTTATTGAGCACTAACTGGATGCCATGTGTCATGCTAGGAGCTTTGCACGCACTGCCTCATTTCATCCTCTTACAACAGGAGAAGGCCATCATCTTCATTTTACATACGAGGAAATGGTGGCTTGGAAAGATCCTTTAGCTTCCCAAAAGCTGTACAGTTGATAACTTTTGGATCAAAGCTTTTTAAAACTTTTCCTCGTATGAAAAAAATTAGCTTTTGTTCCCCTAGGCCCTATCAATATGTCATAAAACCTGCCCCATAGCACTGTTTATCACATCATCAGGTACTTAACAAATGTTGAAAAAAGTTCATGAAAGATGCCTTCTTGTTGTTGGCAGTTGCTATCGAATTGGGGCTGGCTTACAGTGACCCCCTGTAAGAGAATGAAGCACTGCCTGGCCTGCACTGTCTCCATGGTCACTGGTACCCATCATGTGAGTTCACTGTTGAGGCCATGTGTATTTTGAGTGTTTTCCAATATAGGGAAGGAGCTCTGGTGGTGTAGTGGTTAAGGCATTTGGCTGCTAATCAAAAGGTTGGTGGTTCAAACCCACCGGCTGCTCTGTAGAAGAAAGGTGAGTCGATCTACTTTCATAAAGATTTACAGCCTTGGAAACTCAGTGGGGGTCACAGTGAGTCAGAATCGACTTGTTGGCAATGAGTTAGTTTTTTTTTCTTTTCCAATAGAGGGGCCCATCTTCTAGCACTCTATTGGACAATATTCTAGGACTAGAAATACTTCCTTTTACCACTGAACTCAATGTAGTTAAGCCTGACACTTGCTTATGGTTTATTTTTCAAATTACCTAAACTCAGAAAATTCCCCAATGCCTTTAACTCAAATACGATTGGTGCACATCTCTCAAGGGGATGGCCAGCATCGTTACCCTGACCCACTGGACCAGTGCCCCATTCCCTGTAACAGCCTCATTCAACAGAGCCCACAGCACATAACGGGAAGGGCAGCTTACCTTTCGGAAGGACATTTCTACTTGCGTGTCACCATTAAAGTTAAACTTAGCAATCGCTTCACCATATTCCAATATCTGCACTGGCGTCAACTTTTTGGGCTGAGCCTTCTCAGCAGGAGGGAGAAGCTGAGAAAGGAAAAGACGGAAAAGACAAAGAGAAAAAAAGCAAGCAAGGAAATGAGAGAATAAGGAGGAAACAAAACACAATGTCCTCAGTGAGTCAACAGTGCCTTTGGCACGGCTGGGCTTATCCTTAGAAAGGAAAGGAGCTGCGATACCTCGATGTAGGTGCGTGGGAAGATCCCCACCCGGCCGTGGTGCTCGCCTTCGTACCAGTTCTGATCAATCTGCTTGTAAATGTAAACAATATCTCCCTTCTGCAGAGGAAGCTCCCTGTCAACACAGAGGGTCATGACATTTCAGCAGAGGTTGCAATATGTGGAAGATCAAGACACTTCAGTATTCTAGCGAGAGGAGACTCCAAGTGGGGTCCAGGGGGCAGATTACACAGGAGTGGGCTCCATTATTTGGCAGTGAGAACTCCACTACTGAGGAAATTACACCATACTTGGCATCTCCCCAGTCTTCTGTGGGACAGATGTGAACATTCAAACTGACTAGCACTTGAAAGTGCTGAGGCCTTGTGAGTTTCTATCTGCTATGGTTTTCTCAACCTATTTTTAAGTGTGAATGCTGTTTTATGCTCAGAATATTTACCCAAGATCTAAGAAAGTAAGGAGCTCTGGTGGTGTAGTGCTTAAGGCATTAAGCTGCTAACCAAAAGGTCAGTGGCTGGAACCCACCAGCCACTCCACAGAAGAAAGACAAGGCAGTCTGCTTCAGTACAGATTTACACCCTTGGAAACCCAATGGAGGTTGCTATGAGTTGGAATGGACTCAATGGTAGTGAGTCTGGATTTTGGTCTATCTGCTGTGGTTATCTCAACATATTTTTAAGTATGAATGGTATTTCATGCTCAGAATATTTACCTAAGGCATAGCAATGTACCCAGCTGTCTCAACGGATGTTTACTAAATAGTAATAAAAAAGTCTTTCTAAGACACCTGCCTTCACTACACTCTTCTGTGTCCAAAAGTCATACCTTCATTTAAATTACCCTCCGATCACTTGTGATATATTGGTATCCTTCCATCATCCATCCATTTGGTCATTCGTCTATCATCATGCAGCAGAAAGGCTCTGATGTCAGACAGATCTGGGTTCAAAACCCAGTTGTATTGTGTATTAGCTCTGGGACGTTGGGCAAGATTCTTAACCTTTCTGAGACTCTTTCTTGATCTAAGATAGAAGCTGTTAAGTGATCGCAATGACTTGCTGCAAATAATGCAACCAAACCAAACCCACTGCTGTCGGGTCAAGTCTTAAGTTACAGAGGCCTTAGGACAGAGTAGAACTGCCTCATATGGTTTCCAAGGCTGTAAATCTCCACAGAAACAGGCTGCCTCACCTTGCTCCCGTGGTGCGTGAGTGGTCAGTTTGAACCACTGACCTTTTGGTTAGCAGCTGAATGCTTTAACCACTATGCCACCAGAGCTCCATCTTTTTGGGAGCAGATTACCAGATCTTTCTCCCGTGGAGCTGCTGGTGGTTTCGAATGGCCAATCTTTCGGTTAGCAACCAAATGCTTGACCACTGCATACTAGAGCTCATGTACACTTAGCACAGTGCTTAAATAAATGTTAATTCCTTTCGTCTTCAACATGGAAAAGGGATCTTGGAAAGAAAAGTGGATTTTTCTTCCGATGCTCCTCATGCCTTTTAAAAGCATTCTATAGCCACCCCTTTGCTTGCTTCAATCATGATGTCAGCATCCACCAGAACTCTTTTAAAAAATGAGACAAAAACATAAATTATAAACAAAATGAACATGTAAAAGGAGAGCAAAAATTTTAAGTTGAAATCTTTGGGGATTAAAAAAAAAAAATGGCCTAGATTTTTTCCATTTGCATCAAACCAAAAACATGGGAAGTAAGACCTCTGATTGTAATTTGGAGGGGTGTGCCTGCTTTGCAGCGTACCAGGAAGTCCCATGGTATGTGAGGGATGCTGGCTAAACAATGGGGGCACATCTGGAAAACTTTACACAAAGTTATCCCTGTGTGGCCTGAAAGAACATAGTAGCTTTTGTGGGTCCCACATTGATAGACAGGATTCTGATTCCAAAGAGGCCTGTGAAGGGGATACACTTGCCTCTGGAAGAAAGGAGTATCTTTAGCCAAATTCTTGCAAAGTCCTTCTTGGGGTTGTTCTGTATCCCACCTCCTTGCCCTCATCACGGGCGCACAAAGAAGTAGAGCCCTGAGCGTATCGCCCCCTGCTGAAGATCTGCAGGCTTCGAACCCTGGCCCTTGGGGATTCACAGCTGTAGAGGTGGGTGGGAGCTATGACAGCCTCTGTTAGGCAAGGGAGGACATTAGGTGTGACAATAAGAGACAAATGCAGAGAGGTGTGTCATCATGGCCAGAGAGGCACCATGGGGCACCTCAGGCTGTCATCCTTCTAAGACAGTGGTCCCCGCTCTATTTTGCAAAGAACCATCTGACCGGTTCTGGTGAGAAGGTGTGGAAAACAGTGAGAAGCTGTACTTTAGATCTTTCCTGGAGCATCGTGGTGTGATTACTACAGTGAAGGCTCTGAGAAGTCCTGTGGGAAAGAAACCTACTAAACTTTGTTGAATCAATGCTTTTGAGTAACATATTATGGGAAATGTAGAACTAAAGGACTACGGAGGCGCTTCAAATACTTAAAGCCTATTGATCTGCCATTTTCTCTTCTAAAAAAGTTTGATTAATTCTTTTCTTTTTTTTCTGGAGGCAGCATGACATGAAAACAATGATTGAGGAGGATGGAACCCTCTCCCTCTAGTATTAAAATGAAAAAACATCCACTGCCATCAAGCGACCCCCACAGGGTTTCTAAGGCTGTAAATCTTTACAGAAGTCGACCGCTTCATCTTCCTCCCACGGAGCAGCTGGTGGGTTTGAACTGCTGACTTTCTGGTTAGCGGCCAAATGCTCTACCCACTGCGCCACCAGAGCTCCTTCTCTCTGGCATTAGCAATGCTGATAAACGGTGACAATTTCTGTGGAGTTCAGCTTCTCACCTATTCTCTTTGACAGGGCTGCTCTAAAGAAAAAACCATTTTTAAGACTTTTTAAAATGAAATCTAGGCAAATATATTATTCTCACTACACTACTGAATGACTCTTATGTAGAACTTTCCCAATTCAAAGAGAAAAAGTTATCAGTTTGATTAAACTGAAAATTATTGATCTCTGTTATCCTCTCCCTGATGAAAAGGAGAGGGGAGACAATATATTTTGAGTTTTACTTTTGCTACAATGTGTAAAATATTTTACTGGTGATGAATTATGTCATCTTTATCCTCTGAGGCCCTGCAGGAGAGGCACTGTTATATCTCCATCATACAGATGAAGACACTAGAATGCGGAAGGTGGCCTAACTTGTTCATAGCCACAGAGAGTGTAAGTGGCACAGTTAGGGTTTGAACTGAGGACGTCCTGACTCTAAAGCCTATAATCTTGCCATTATATTAAACCACCAACTCTTGTTAGCTGATGAGTCAAAGGACTGGAGTAACTACAAGTACACCTAAGTGCACCAAATTTGCCATTGTTGTTGTTGTTGTTATGTGCCGTCGAGTCGGACCCGACTCATAGTGACCCCTCCTTGGGTTTCCAAGGCAGTATCACTAAGGAAGTAGATTGCCCCATCTTCCGTCCAAGGAGTGGCTGGTGGGCTTGAACCGCCAGCCTTCTGGTTAGCAGTCAAATGCCTTAGGCACTACGCCACCAGAGCTCCCAGATTTGCCATTAGGCTCTGGAAATCACAGGCTTGTTATTCACTGTATTCTGGAGGGTATCAGGACCATGGCTGCTCGGCCCCCCACCCACAGCATTTCCCGGCCTCTGAGGATGGGGAGCTCTCCCTCACATCACCAGTCGTGGAGCCTCCTGCAAGCAGGACAACAGGATGGCTGTGGTCCTTAGCTCCCAGTGGAAACTTATGGCCTGTTTTCACCCTCAACTAGGAAGAAAGTGAACAGGTTCCTCTGCGAACCCAGTCTTTAGTAGCATGACCCAATACTATCTCATAGAAAATACAAAAGTTCCCTGCTCACCTAAGTTCAGAAAACACAGGGTTAAATAAGCTGGTCAGGTTTCCTCACTGCAGGACTTCTAGAGCCACTAATACTCCAAAGAGCAATGGGGTATCTCTGCAAGTGGCTGGGGGGTATGGAGATAGCAGTGTGCAGTGGTTCTCAAGCTCATTTTCATGAAGGAACACTTTAAGAAACATTCGACGTTCTGAGGAACTTGGAGAATGGCTAGTCTCTCGTGGATTCCCACAAGCCTCTAACATCCTGGGATGAGTTAGCAAAGCCGGTGAAGTAACCTTCCTGGCGACTGGTTCTGGTTCCTTTCCTGGAAAGGGCTTGTCAGATCAAGCTACCACTTAAGCAAACTGAGCCCCTACATAGGAGAAGGGAAGGTGGCATAGTGGGTGGGAGCACAGGTTCTGGTCTCAGGCTGCCTCAGTTTGAACCCTGACTCCTTCATGTACCAGCTTGGGTACTTTTTTTTTTCCCCTTTCTTTCTTGTGCTTTAGATGAATGTTTACATAGCAAATTCCAAAGAAAACTACTGCCATCGAGTTGATTCCAGCTTATAGCTATCCTATAGGACAGAGCAGAACTGTCCCATAGGGTTTCCAAGGCTGTAAATCTTTACGGAAGCAGACTGCCTCATCTTTCTCCTGTGGCAGGGCTGTTGGGTTTGAACTATTGACCTTTTGGTTAGCTTTAACCACTGTGCCACCAGCGCTCCTTCACAGCAAATTAGTTTCCCATTGAACATTTGATGCACAGTTTATTCCAGGACATTGGTTACTATCCCTGCAATGTGTCAGCACTCTCTCCGTTTCCACCCCTCCAGTTTCCCTGTCCTCTCTGCCTTCCCATCTTTGCTTTTTGGCCGCATACAGTTGGTTGCTCTAAGGAACACACTCCTCATGTGTGTTATTGCTTATTTCATTTTATTTGGCTGAATGGTGACTCTGGGAGTGGCTTCAGTTCTAGGTTAAAAGGGTATCTTAGGACGATGGTGGCACCCTGGTGGGACAAAAGTTAAATGCTCTACTGCTAACTGAAAGGTCAGCAGTTTGAACCCACCAGCTGCTCTACAGAGGAAAGCCTCGGCAGCAGTCTGCTTCCGTAAAGGTTTGTAGACAAGGAAACCCTATGGGGCAGTTCTACTCTGCTCTGAATGGTCGTTACAAGGTGGAATTGACTGGAGGCTGTGGTTTTTGCTAGGACAATAGTCCTGGGGGTTCCTCCAGTCCAATACGTCTGAAGTTTTTTTTTTTTTTTTTTTTTTTTAATAAATTTGAGTTTTGTTCTACATTTTTCTCCCATTCTAACTGGGACCTTCATTGTGTTGGGCAGAGTTCTTAATCTTCCAATTCATTGGTTTCTTCATTTGTACAGTGGGGACAATAATAGAACCCACCCATGGGTGGGGCTGCAGTGAGGGATGAATGACATATGGTAAGGACTGGATGAGTCAAGTACTTCGAACAGTGCTCGGGACACAGTAAATTGTATTCAACTTTTTTTTTTTTTTTAATTGTTATCACTTCTCCAACTCTTCTCCAAAAGTGAACTGCTATGTTTCAAAGAGGCAGCTAAGGTAACAAATGAGTATGACATGGCACTTACTTTAGTGTCTGAGCTTTAAAGTCATATTTGGCTCTGGCAGGTCTCATCTAAACACAAGAGAAAAAGACAGGTTACAGTCACAGCCATGTACAATGGAAAGGACACATTTCCACAAGTTTCTAGAAAGCAAGGCAGGAAAATTCACTCTCACCATTTTGCGCTGGTGTAGCAATGCGGGCAAAATGCCAGTTGCCTGACCTTAGAACACTAGATGGACATTCAGCCAATCATGTCATGCATGAGAATGCCCCAAGCAGGGCCAGGTTTGGGAAAGAGATGGCTGGAAAAGCCCCAAAGCTGACCATGGCTATTAAAAAACTAATCTTGTGGTGATCAAAACAAAGTGGCGCAGAAGTCATGACATGTTCCTTATCGACTATCTCACTCTCCAGCGGACATCTCCTGTTTGCCTGACTTCAATCATGACCTGCAATAGATGAGACCCTGATTCACCTCTCACCTCATCATCAACTCCCTATTTCTCATGGTCGGTCAGAGCATCCAAAACACCAGCGACAAAGCGAGTCCAGAGCTCAGGCTCTTTCCACCAAGATAATCCCACTCCTTCCAGACCTTCCTTCTCACCCTCAGCCCACCTCCACTTCCTCATCAAGTCTGTCTTTGAGTCATGGCAACCTTCCCTCCGTTGCTCCACAACCTGCTCAGGTCTGACCTCTTGTTCGCACAGGCACACAGCTTCCTTTCACTTCATGTTCCTTTCACTCCAATCCACTGTCACTCAGGACCACAAAGAACATCCCTCAAATGCCTCCATCACTTCCTTGCTCAGAAGTCAGCTGAGGTGTTGACTGTCCCTCAGACAATCTCAATTCCTGACATGGGTTAAAGCCTTTGAGCAATTACCCCCACACTACCTAATTGCTTTTATCTCTGATTACATCCAGGTCCTGTTCCTGTTCCCATGACACAAATCTATTTGCTACACTGGAGTTTCTTCATCTCCAATTCCACCAAGAAGTGTGCCTTTACTTACCACATTCCTTTGCATTTCTTCCTTACTTTTAATTTTTTAATTTAAAGGAAGAAAGGAGGGAGGGAGAAGGAAACTCTGATGGCATAGTGCCTAAGGCATGTGACTGCTAACCTGAAGGCTGGTGGTTCAAACCCACCAGCCATTCCTCGGAAGGAAGGTTGGGCAATCTACTTCCGTAGTGATCCTGCCTCAGAAACCCAAGGAGGGGTCGCTGTGAGTTGGACCTGACTCAACAGCAGTGAATTTGTTTTTTTTTATTTAGGAGGGAGAAATCATGTGAGCAAGCTTGTGAGTAAAATTCTCTCCCCCAGTCCTAAGCAACCCCCAAGATCAGGCGTTAAGAGTTAATATCTGGTGCTACCTGAGCCCCAAAGCTCCCTTTCAGCAAACCTCCAACTTCAACTGCTATGACCCTCTGCTCTGGGGAAAAATGTGATGAAAATTTAATTACAGACTTCCTCTTCAATATTGGAAAGCATGAACAAAGTGGGGGGGGGAAAAATCAGAGGCTCTACGTAAGAAAACATGGTATCCCAAAGCTTTAGTAGCCATACTTTTAGATCCTAATCCCTTAGGAATATGCCTCATATTTCCAGGCTCCTTAAACCAGGCTTTTACAGGGATCTTCTTAAGGGACATGAGTTGGTCACAGGAATTTTTCTTACTTTTGCATTTTCATTTTGATCTTTCCATATCTGCCAATACGTGTACATATTAGAGGTCAACTGAATGAACCACCTTAGAATCAAGTTATTGCTGATACCAATTTTAATATCTGCATTTGTGATCAAATAGCATAGTCTAACAGTTGCAGGCTGACCAGGAAAGAATGAATAATGATAAATGACACGTTCACAGGGAAGGCTAAGTGACCAAAAGGTACAATGCATTGTGAGGACAAAAGTTCCACAGCGATTCCAATGGAAAAAAGTGGTGGGAGAGAGAAGTCACCATACAACATTTAGTTGCAGAGCTGAGTGAACTTTAAGGAACTGATGCCAAAATAGCACAATATTCACACTTCAAGTGGCAACTGAGTTGGGCAAGACAATGCCACTTATCAATTAAATTAATAAACTCCATAGGTGTATAGTTAAGTTATTTAATTTGTAAATTGGTTTGGTTCTATCAACTGGGAGTGGGTAAGGTTACTAACATTATTTTCGCATTAAAGCAATCTATATTAGGAGCTCTGGTAGTGTAGTGCCTAAGGCACTTGACTGCTAACCAGAAGGCTAGCAGTTCAAACCCACCAGCTACTCCTCGGAAGGAAAGCTGGGCAATCTATTTCAGTAGTGATACTGCCTTGGAAACCCAAGGAGTGGTTGCTATGAGTCGGGTCCGACTCAGTGGCACATAACAATAACAACATACATAGCTCCAGGTTGACAGAAAGACTCCACTGAATTCCTAGGAAATACGTGGGTCATCGTTAGTTGTACAAACCATACTTCTCCTTTCCACCTTCCTAATTCTTCCTGAGGCAAATTCACCTTTCTGTCCTCTGCCTCCCACAGCAATGTGTTACAAGGGACAGACAGCTGTGGGTATGAGGGTGCCTCTCCCACTCAACTACCAGCTGCCCTGAGGGCATGGTCTGGGTTCTGCTCTCTGCCTCCCCACAGGACCTTACACAGAAGTAGTGGTCAACCAAGTTCTACTGAATGGGACTGAAGTCCATCTACACAGCAGGATGCACCTGGGACTTCCTAGTCTTTATTTTCTCATGTCTATGAGTCAATTTCTAGGACTGTGATTCTCAAAGCCTGGTCTTTCAAATGGCGGCATCAAGATCATCCCCTGGAAACTTGCTAGAAATGTAAATTCTCAGGCCGACCTCAGAATTCGGCAACGTGTATGTAACAAAAGTTCCAGGGGGCCCTGATGCTAGCTCAAGTTCGAGAATCACTGCTCCAGGAGAAAAGGCAGGGTAGGTTAGACAAGAGTTTGCCTCTTCCTGTGGTTCCTCCAGCTGGTCGCACTGTCATGTGCACACGAGCTGGCTGTGTTTTCATTTGCGTGTGTTATCTGTATGTGTGAACGTGCAGCACTGGGGTGCCTTTGCATATGCCCATCTCCTCCTGCATCACTCCCAAGCCGGTGGGTCTGTGAACGTGGACACACCACCAGCAGAGCCTTCTCTCAGGAGGACGGGGAGGCGCTGGTGCACTGGGGCCAGAGGCTGTCCTCCCCGGCAGGTGAGCAACACATGCCAGCTTCTATCTCTCCCTTGATACAGTTTCTCTCCCTTGATACAGTTTCTCTCCCTTGATACAGTTTCTCTCCCTTGATACAGTTTCTCTCCCTTGATACAGTT